GGAGAAGCTGCTTGATGGAATTTAAAGGAACTATAAGGCAAGAAATGGGCTCTGTGTTGGGGAGGGTCAGGTTGGTGTAGTCACGGTAGTAGCTCTTTCCACCTCTGTGACCCAGGTTCAAATCCTGCCCAGGCCGACATTCAGATTTGGTCCTCAGTCCTGTCTTGATTCCGTGGTTTTTTCCCAGATGATTTGCTCAGGGTTTTCGTCTTACCACTATATTCTGTACAACTGTATATATCTTTATTGTCATTGAGGTGCCAGCAAGCATATAGATTCTCACACCCCCCATGCTCTGAGGGAAAATAGTTTATAACTGATAGGGCTTTACCCTGATTGAATATATAAAGAAAACAAGAATAGATAAGAGTAAGTAAAGAAACAAAGAATTCACACGTTCTTTTCGTACATTTCGTAAGTGACAATTTTGTTCCTGTTGTGTTATTTCACTTTTGAAGAAAATGAATAAAAAAACAGAGCACAGAAGATGTAGACCTTTTCTATTTAGCTTCTTGATTGGTCGCAATATCAGGATGCAGATGCCTACAAGCTGGTCGTCAAGGATGACATAGCCGCCTGGCAACAGAGCCTGAAGGAGCATAACATGGCCGACTGGCTGATTGTCCTGGTAGAAACCTCCAACCTCAAGCGAGGCAACAAGTCCAAATTACTCCCGCGGACGTCGGTGCTGGATAAGATCAAGAGCGACTTCTGCAGCAAGCAGGAAAAGTTGGTGGCTATTACCCTGAGCAGATTTCTTCTCCAACCTTTGACGTTACAAGATCTGGGGGTTTGGGTTTTTTTTGGAGGGGGGTTGGAATCTATGCCTCCGTAGAGATCCCAGTTGTCCCATGACTGGTCTTTTTGATATGTGGCATGCATACAAGCAAAGATGTGTGTTATGAGTACACGTTTTAAGTTTCACATAGTCTTAAATGTCCCAAATCCTCCGATTTCAATATGATTTTACATACCAGTTAGGGTTACTCTGACTGAAGGCTTTGTTGTGGTCCGCATGCGTTCAGCGTGTCAACGTGACAAGTTAACATTTTGGACTTACGAGTCTTGAAAACCTGGCATGTCATGAGAACAGTTGATCTAATTCTTATAAAATTGGTATCAAAATGATCATAGGGCATTACTGGAAAAACTTCATAAAGCACGGCCTCACACAAGGAATTTATGTGCTCTTATGATATGAAAGAAATTATGGAAGCAGAGGGTTGGTTCAGCTCAGTTACCTCTTTTTTAAAATATTTGTCTGCCCAGACGAGTGATTGTTCTCAATGAACCCAACAATCCAGTGCCCACCAATCGCTCATTGGAGTCCTGGCAACTCTTCATCCATCGTTTGCGTGAGTTGGTACTGGTTGCCTACAGCCGTCTCCTGGGTCGCTTTGAGGAGTTTGTCCGTGCCGAGCGGGAGCGACGAAACGACAAGGGTTGGGACTTTTGCAAGTACTTCCTTCTCCAGGTATGTGGAACCGTGAATGCCAAAACTACTGTTGGCAATCTTTGCTTTAATTAATGCCAGATCCTCCAACTGATCATGATACTCACCTTTTGGCAAATGGCATGTGTTTCTCCATGGATATTACTACTGACGTAGGCAGCCACATACTTTGAAGAATTTCTTGCTAAAATTCTGATTTAACAGTGAGCACTCTCCAAATTAACTTGTTTTCTCCTCCATTGCTTGGATAACGTAGCCTCCATTGCACCATGAGGGTATTCATTTGTCCAGCCAAGTGCTAAAAAGTGAAATCTTAAACAGCTAGATTTAAATTCACCCTATGAGGAATATATTGGCATGTCTTTATGAATAGGGGTATCGTGCATAATGGAATTAACTGAACTGGCAAGAGTCATGATAGGAAATGATTTTCCAGTCTTGATTATTGCAGCTATTTTCAGCGCAAATTGTCCTGTACATGAACATAAAGCGATTTGAATTGTGGTTCCTCATTGTTAGCTCCGTCCACCAAATTGAAAAAAAATCAGTCAACAGTGTTAAATTCACATACAACTAATTTACCTTGTGCAAAAGGGGCTCGCTCCAACACAATCAGCTTCGAGTTCAATATTTAGCATTTCTTCATGTTTCCTTGGAAAAAAAGTAGGCGTGTGACTTCTCACTGTGGAAGATATTGTTCTTATTCTGAAATTGGAGAAACTACCTAATTAATTTTCATTTGGAAGAGGATGCACTTGTGCAGAACAATGAGTTAGATCCTAATGAATATTAATTGAAATTTATTTGTAGGGGGAGCTAGCATTTACCTTCTAGTTGTTTCATTTGGAAGAGAATGCTCTTGTGCAGTATGATGAGTTAGATCCTAATGAATATTAGTTAAAATTTGTTTGTAGGAGGAGCTAGCATTTACCTTCT